CGGGCTGCCCGCAAATTTCTTCAATGCTGTCTATCCTGCCTATCTGGAAGCCATGACTACGTGCGCAGATTATTATTTCAGCGACATCGAACTGCTTGCGCTGGCGCGTTGCAAGAGGCAGAATGTAGTCATTTTCGTGCACTGCTCTGCGACGCACGAGTTGACGTACGCGCGTTCGCACGTCGGAGATCCGAGCCTTCCGGTGGTCGCCACGTCCCTTCGAGATGACGGCGGACAGGGTGCTGTCCGAACACACTTGGAGCGGCTGCGGGTTTGCCCGCAGGAGCAGTTGCCTGGGCGGGGGAGAAGCCCGGAAGGCGATCGCTCCACTGACGATGATGGGCGCAGAGAGGCGAAGCGCCCGAAAACCCAGAGTGAAAGAGCCCCGGCACGTCCCCCTGCCGAAGAGAGAGGCCGCGGAGACGGGAACGATGGAGCGGCGGGGCAGGCGACGCGGCAGGAGGATGGGAGTGCCTTGGCAAAGCGAGCAAGGACAGACGAGGAAGTCGAACGAGAGAAGCACGGCCAGAGTAACGAGTGCGCCCCGCTGCCGCCGCCGCCGCCTGAGGCGCGCGCTGGGCGGCGCGCGACCGGCGGGAAGTCTGGATTGCATCTGAAGGAGGATTTCGAAATGCATAGTGGATGCGACGCCGTTTGCGACGACCACGTCAATGCGGCGGAGAGCCAGGGCGCAGCCTCGGGAATGCCGGCTGTCGCCGCGACTGAAGGAGGCCAGTGCGTCACGGACGTGCTCGATTTCTTGGGGTTTCAGTTCCCAGGCCCTGCAGGAACGCCAGCTGTCGAGGCAACTGACAGACGCATCGCTTCGGAGTCAAGCGAAGGCGCCGGCGAGGAATCTGAAAGCGAAGGGGGCGACGGCGTGGAGGAGCAATATTTTGCAGTTGGCGCCAACGCGGGGCAGGTCCGTGGAGCGCCCGTGGAAATGGACGTGATTGATGGCCGTTGCCGAGAACTCCGCAAACTCATGCGAGAACGGCCCACGCTGCCGCTGACAGCTGACGGCGCAGTCTTGACAGCTCCCGATTTGGAAACTGGAGTGAAATTGCCTTTGTACTCGTGTCCTTTCCAGAACGACCAGAGTGGGCCTTGCCGTTTCCACGCGAGTGACCGGGCAGCCTTCTTGCACCATATTGCCGGGGGCGCCAGGGATCGCACGCATGCCAGTGTGATAAGTAAGATCTGCAACAATGATATTCGCTGGATGACGAACTTGGACTACGTATACGGGGCCATGGCCGTTGCCGAGCGGGAGCGGTGGCCAATGTTGGGGCTGTCGACAACTCGGCGATCCCTGAACCTGCTCGCGCTTCGGTACAACGACGAGACGACGAGATGTCTGGCCTGTTTCATATGCGGTCAGCTTCGCACGACGTGCGCGGGGTGCCCGCCAGTTGACCTGGAGTCGAGTTCCATCTCCCTCGCGTCTGGCAGCGTCGAGATAAAATATTGGAAAGAGGCGGCTTTCCAGGACGTTGAAAAGAACTTCCCTGGAACCCTGCTCAACAACTGCGGGTTCGATCTATGGCAGAAGCGGTACGTGGATCGGGACCTCGAGTCAATCAAGGCGTACCCGTGGAGAGGACAAAAGGTGTTAAGTGTACCGTTGAGCA